ATTCCACACCTACATTTATGGTGGCTTTTTCCAGGGATGTCTCTCAGCAGTAAATCCTCACCCTGGGCGTGAATCCGCAGGTCATTGCTCTCCCTCCCTGTGCAGTTCCCTCAATCTCCCTGCAAATCCTCAGCCCCAAGTTCCTGGAGTGCACCGCTGGGTGGCCCGAGAGTTACACCCTTGGAGGCAACCCTGCTGATGCTGCCTCCAGCTGGGCAGGGGCAAAAAGGCTCCGGCAGGCCTCTGGAGTCACCTGTGGCTCCTGAGGAGCAGGTAGTTCAACATGACATCAAGCAGGCCCAGCCTGGAGCCACTCCTGCTGCTGTTGCTGCCACCAGCTGGCAGACAGGCCCTTATGTTCTTAATTTTAGTTAAAATCATATCTGGTGGACCCGGTGGCGTGGCCTAGTGGCTAAAGTCTTCGCCTTGAACGTGCCGGGATCCCATATGGGTGCCGGTTCTAATCCCGGCAGCTCCACTTCCCATCCAGCTCCCTGCCTGTGGCCTAGGAAAGCAATCGAGGACGGCCCAAAGCCTTGGGACCCTGCACCCATGTGAGATACCCGGAAGAAGTTCCTGGATCCTGGCTTCGGCTGAGCCTAGCATCAGCCTAGCATCAGCCGCTGTGCTCACTTGGGGAGTGAATCATCGGACGGTAGATCTTCTTCTCTGTCTCTCCTCCTCTCTGTGTATCTGACTTTCTTTTTTTAAAATTTTTTTAAATTTTTTTTATTTTTTAAAATCTGTTTATTTTTAATGCAGCATGAGAGAAGGTGGGAGACAGAGAGAGAGAGAGAGAGAACAGAGAACAAAAGAGAAAAGGAAAAGAGGAAATTTTTCATCTGGTGATTCACTCCTCAAATGGCTGCAACATTCAGGTCTACATTAGGCCAAAGCAGGAATCAGGAACTATCCTATGAGGGTTTCAATGTGAGTGGAAAAGGCCCAAGTACTTGGACCAGTTCTTTTTTTTTTTTTTTTTTTGACTTTAATTTTTTTTTTTATTAACATTGTATTATGTGATACAGTTTTATAAGCACTGGGGAGTCCCCCCACCCCTCCCACACCCCTCCTCCCATAGTGGATTGCTCCATCTTGCTGCATAACCGCGTTTCAAGTTCAGTTGAAATTCCTTCATTGTAAGCATATACCTAGCATAAAGTCCAACGTCTTATTGTCCAGATAAGTTCAGTGGCCTCTTGGGGAGACCTTCTCTGGTCTGAAGGTAGAGCTAACAGAGTAAAGTTCCAGTCAGTTAAAACCCCCAACAAAACATCAGCGTCAATATACAATGTTATGGGATTAATTGGTATAGTATTGAGTGAACAATATGTTAAAAAAAAAAAGTTCAATTCTTCAAAACCTCTGGGTTTAGACAGTATCAATGACAGGTTCAAAAAGTAACAATCAACCAAGCATAAATTACAGGTTAAATCAAGGCAAACATTAGATGTCTGACATAGTATTGAGTAGACAATATGTTAAAATTACATGTAAGTTCTTGATTACCTTCTACAACTATTTCAATGTCACCTCCTCAATTGAGGTGTGTAACGATTTTGGGGGGTGTTGCAGAGAAATCTCTCATACCTTGCTAATGAGTACTTGTTCTTTATGTTCCATCTAATAGTACATGAGTGAGTCCTTGATGACCTATCTTTATTGTTCTTTGGTTATCTCATCCTATTAGTGTGTGTATATCAGTGTGTGTGTGTGTGTGTGTGTGTGTGTGTGTGTGTGTGTGAAGGGGGGCAGGGGGGTTAGGAGGAACCTTGTTGGTCATTATAGGGGGTGGAGGCCCAGAGCTGGAACTAGGTAAGGACTGGAGAGGATTCCTCCCCCATTGTCCCGCCGGAAGTTTATTGATCTTCTGGTTCTGATGACCGATCGTGGTTCCTAGTTGTTGTTCTGATGTCGTTAGTTCCTATGTGGAAGGACTCAGGCTTCTTCCATCTCGTGTAGTTTGTCCAAAGAGAGGGGGTGTCTGTCCTCTGGGTTCACAGCATTCGGAGGCATTCCAGATCCCCGTGTTCTCTTTGGCTGTTGTGTTGACGTTCTTGTGCCCGTTCTGATAGACCTTGGTGGGAGTCCGGGAGTCTTTATGGGTGGCGGATAAGCCTCCTCCAGTCCCTCTGGTCCACTCTGGGGTTCTCCCCTATTCTGTGCATATGACCACCTGTTAATAGACTGTTTGGGTCGTTCCTAATTACCCCTGTGTGTCATTATAGCTTTTGCTATTGTCTACTGCTGATCTGGATCTATCAACTTTAATATACTAATGCAGTTCCTGCAGGTTACAGGACGTGGATTCCTAGCTTTTTCAAGGGAAAAGAGAGATTTCTCTGTGTTCCCACCCAGTTACTGTGTATCGTAAGGAATTGGCATTATATTGGGAGTTACAATCATTCGGAACTTATGGAGTGAAACAATGATAGCAGCAGATTCGTCTGAGGGAGATTTACAGCCGTTGGAAATCTTTAGGGTTGCTTGGTGTCCCCAAAACGCCGCAGCTTCAGCATGAAGCCGTCTTGAGCACCATACAGAGAACCAATTTCTCAGAACTCTCGGGCTGGGCGGCCTGCAGGCGAAGCCTGGCAACAACTGGCGCACTGGCCACCCCGAAGCAGTCTTCCGAGTGGGCGTGAAGACTGCTGGTTGCTTCCCAGGAGATAAACTTGGTTGCGCCTGGGGACCCAGGCAGCCATACTGCCGGGGGTCACGTCCCCAAGCATCAGCCCCGCCCCTCCTCCCGGCCCAGGCTTGGGTCTAGCCACGCCCCTAGCGCCACCTGCCCGGGGTCTCGGATCAGCCGTACCTGCTCGACCACGCTAGGCCCGAAAAGGGCCACACGTGGGGGTCCAGCCTCCCCGAAGCAGTCTTCCAAGTGGGCGTGAAGGCTGCTGGTTGCTTCCCAGGAGACGAACTTGGTTGCGCCTGGGGACCCAGGCAGCCATACTGCCAGGGGTCACGTCCCCAAGCGTCAGCCCCGCCCCTCTTCCCGGCCCGGGCTTGGGTCTAGCCACGCCCCTAGCGGCCCCAGCCCGGGGGTCGGATTGGCTGTACCTGCTCGACCACGCTAGGCCCAAAAAGGGCCACACGTGGGGGTCCAGCCTCCCCAAAGCAGCCTTCCAAGTGGGCGTGAAGGCTGCTGGTTGCTTCCCAGGAGACGAACTTGGTTGCGCCTGGGGACCCCTGCAGCCATACTGCCGGGGGTCATGTCCCCGAGCATCAGCCCCGCCCCTCTTCCCGGCCCGGGCTTGGGTCTGGCCACGCCCCTAGCGCCACCAGCCCGGGGGTCAGGTTGCTGTACCTGGACCACGCTAGGCCCGAAAAGGGCCACACGTGGGGGTCCAGCCTCCCCGAAGCAGCCTTCTGAGTGGGCGTGAAGACAGCTGGTTGCTTCCCAGGCCATGAGCTTGGCTGAGCTTGGGGACCCAGGCAGCCAGAATGCCGGGGGTCACGTCCCCAAGCGTCAGCCCTGCCCCTCTTCCTGGCCCGGGCTTGGGTCTAGCCACGCCCCTAGCGTCACCAGCCCAGGGGTCGGATTGGCTGTACCTGCTCGACCACGCTAGGCCCGAAAAGGGCCACACGTGGGGGTCCAGCCTCCCCGAAGCAGCCTTCCGAGTGGGCGTGAAGACTGCTGGTTGCTTCCCAGGAGACGAACTTGGTTGAGCTTGGGGACCCCGGCAGCCATTCTGCCAGGGGTCACGTCCCCTTGCGCCGGCCCCGCCCCTCTTCCCGGCCCGGGCTTGGGTCTAGCCACACCCCTAGCACCACCAGCCCAGGTGTCGGATTAGCTGTACCTGCTCGACCACGCTAGGCCCGAAAAGGGCCACACGTGGGGGTCCAGCCTTCCCAAAGCAGCCTTCTGAGTGGGCGTGAAGACTGCTGGTTGCTTCCCAGGAGACGAACTTGGTTGCGCCTGGGGACCCCTGCAGCCAACTGCCAGGGGTCACATCCCCAAGCGTCAGCCCTGCCCCTCTTCCCGGCCCTGACTTGGGTCTAGCCACACCCCCTAGCATCTCCAGCCCAGGGTTTGGATTGGCTGTACCTGCTCGACCACGCTAGGCCCGAAAAGGGCCACACGTGGGGGTCCAGCCTCCCCGAAGCAGCCTTCTGAGTGGGCGTGAAGGCTGCTGGTTGCTTCCCAGGAGACGAACTTGGTTGAACCTGGGGACCCCTGCAGCAGCCATACTGCCGGGGGTCACGTCCCCGATCCCTGACTTTCCAATAAATAAATCTAAAAAAAAAAAAATCATATCTGGCATGATGGCCTTTACAATTTAATGCTATTTCCATTGAAAAATAACTACTACTTACTAACATCATATTTTTCAATATTTAGATATCAAAAGAAATACTATTGGAATGCAAAGTTACACTGGGTAAGCATTCTGTGTCCACGTGTGAACCTCTCTATTGTAATACTACAGAACAGTCATAGCAGTTACTGTGCTAAACACTTTGCACTCAGGTACTTTTCCAAATTATGTAGGGTAGTGTTACTTTTGTTACTATTTATTTTTACAGGGGAGGAATAAGGTTAACTCATCTGCTCAAGGTTCCACTGGTCTAAATGCTGGAGCAGGGTTTTAAGTCCACAAATGACACAATTTGTGGTCAGTGCACAACAATGTAGGGAAAAAAAAATATTCCCTACCAGAGTAGAAACAAACTCTGGCCTGGTAAGGACTGCTCCAAACTGATAACAAGTACAACTTGTATATAAAAGTAATATTTATTAACTTAGTCTGTACACACATCAATTTAGTGAAATCGGAAAGCCTAGTGTAGACCTAACTGAATGCATTTTTTGCCGCAGACAGGACAGGACACTGCCTTTTGCTTTGAAAACAAAACAAAATAAAATCCAAAAGAACAAAGCAAAATGGCTCCAATTTTTTCACAGAGCTGGGGGAGAAAGGGCCATGCAAGGACTCACGCCTTATCTGGTCCTCATCACGCTAACAGTCCACCCACCGCGCGGAACTAAGCCCTCGGGTTTGCTTCTCTGCTTCAAGGCAATCATCTTAGGGTCAAACAAACTCCCAAGTCCTTACATCTTCCTGGAGGCAGCACAGGTCAGTCTGGACACAACTCACTCTGTCACAGCCTTTTGAGCAATGGCAGCATTTTCCAAAATCTTCCTTCTCCATTCTTCATAATCCTGTGTCAGATCGTCACATGGCTGTGGTCTGTGTGAGGCCTCTACCATCTTCTCTGTTGCTGAGGAAAAATCATCAAAAAAGTAAACTAGTCTGAAGTGTTTGCTTTAGCTAATTAACATAACTGGGAATAAGAATTCCAAGGCATCTGATTGATAGCAGCTAACATTTATCAAGCACCTATTTTGAGCTTGATAGGCATGGAAATAAACACTTTAAACAGTGCTTCATTTTCCTAAAATAAGATTTAATTATTTTTTATTTGAAAGGCAGTTTTACAGCTAGTAAGAGATCACCAGTATCCTTGATGAACATAGATGCAAAAGTCTTCAATAAAATACTAGCCAACACAATGAAATAATACAATGAAATAATACATAAGACAGGTCATTCACCCAGAACAGGTGGGATTTATCCCTGGAATGCAGGGATGGTTTAACAGATGCATATCTTAGCATGCTGAAATCTCTGCCATTGTCCGTATCTACAGTGTCAGGATACACTTAAATAGCAGAATGATGGACATATGACTGTTTGTGAAGGACTGTTCTATTATAATAATATAGGGGAAATCATTGGTGGGGAGAGGATTAAGGGAATGAGAAGGGGAAATCCCAGAGCCTATGGAACTGTACCATTAAAAACAAAACAAACAAAGAATTACAGATCTATAAATGTGATATACATCACATCAATAAACTGAACAACAAAGACCATACTCACTAGACACAGAGGAAGCATTGATAAAACCCAACACCACTTCATTCTAAAAACCCTGAGCAAGACAGGCACAGAAGGAACATTTTACAACACAACCGAAGCAATTTACCAAAAAACCCAATGCCAGCATCATACTGAATGTGGAAAAACTGGTAGCTTTCCCACTAAGATCTGGAACTAGATGAAGGATGTCTGCTATTGCCATTGCTATATCCTTGCTAGAGCTATCAGGAAGAAAAAAGAAATTAAAGGAATTCAAACTGGAAAAGAGGAAGTCAAACTGTCTCTGTTTGCAGATGACACGATTCTATACACAGGAGAACTAAAAGACTCAATAAAGAAACTGCTAGAACTCTAAAGGTTTGGTAAGGTAGCAAGGTATAAAATAAAGAAATGCAAATCAATGGCACTAGTATATACAAACAATTCCTGGGCCGAAAAAGAACTAATCAGCATGGTATCTCTCAAAATAACAAAGTAGATATTGAAATAGTTTAGAACAAACCTAATTAAAGATGTGGAAGATCTCTATTAGGAAAATTACAAAACATTGAAAAAGAAATAGACTTTAAAAAGTGGAGAAATATACCATGCTCCTGGACCAGCAGAATCAACATCATCAAAATGTCCATATTGCAAAAAGTAGTAGACAGATTCAATGTGATACCAATTAATATCCCAAGAACATTCTTCACAGAGCTAGAAAAAATGATACAAAAATTCATCTGGAAACACAAGAGACCATGAATAGCCAAAACTATCTTGAAGAATAAGAATCTAGCTGGAGGGATCACAATTCCAGACCTTAGGACATATTATAGGGCGGCAGTAATCAAAACAGCCTGGTACTGAACCAAAGCAGAGAAGATCAACGGAGCAGAATAGAAATACCAGAGAGCCCCCCCGCCCCACACATACAACTAATCTTCAACAGAGAACAAAAAACATCCCAAGGAAAAAAGTTGGGTCTCTTCAACAGATGATGTTGGGACAATTGGACAACAGCCTGCAGAAGTAAGAAACAAGACCCTCAGCTTTCACCATAAAAAAGATCAAATCTAAATGGATACAGAGGTAAACCTACACCCAGAAACCATCAGGCTATTAGAAGAAAACACAGGAAACACTCTGTAAGACATAGGAGTGTGTAAAGACTCCTTAGAAACGACATCAGAAGATCTTGAGGCTGGGTGAGTTTGGGAGGGGTTCGGGCCTTGGGGTTGGGGGCATTTGCCGCTCCCTGCAGTGTGGCGACTGTGGGGGGTGCCCCTGCTGGGTCAGACCCAATGCTGGGGACTCATGCCAAAGACACTGCTGGAAGGCAGTGAACGAGTCCTTGGCCTCCCCCAGGGCAGCCAGTGCACCAAGTGGTGCCAGGCTTTGCCTGCTGGCCACCCGGCGGCGAACTCTGGGGTTTTTAAGATATGTAGTTGCTGCCTGGGGACACCCATGACTAAGGCCAGTTTGAGTGTAGGTGAGAAGTGAATTTTGGGTGATTCTCAGTGACAGGGTCATGAAAGATTCAGGCATACGTGGTGACCAAGACCTGGTGATTTGGAGGGAAGTATCCAGAAGATAATTTGGGTTAGACATATTCAACAGTCCAACTAGGAATACAGAGATGGGCTATTAGCATAGAACACTACTGATCACCACACACTAGCCCACACTAAAGCTACGGATGGGGGCCTCTTTGGCAGTTTTAGGTACCATTACCCAACTGGGTGGTGGAGTTGTGGAATGGTCACATTTGGCAGGATCAAGACACTATCCAGCACGCAAGAGAACTTGGTCTGGGGGTAGACTCTGTGGGGTTGTGTGGGCCCAACCAGGCAGAAATGCAAGTTCCCCTGGTTAGCTCGCAAGCTGGGGTTGCAATTTTCTAAGCTAGGTGTGACCATGCCACCTGCCATCTCTCACGGGTAAAGGAACCCACAACAGTCAGGGTAGGTCAAGGCAGCAGCACCTGAATGTGCATCCTTAAACAGGATGTGGGGTGGGCCGGGTTGCCACCTGAAGGGGGCAGAATGGGCAGGGCTGAACAAACCTTAACTTTCACAAGAAACAACAGAAATCAGGTTGGAGCACAGGTCATGCCAAGTAGGCCCTTGCACCTACTGATCTGCGTGAGCTAGGGATGCTAAGCCACAGCATCCAAAGGGCCAGGACAAGTGAGGGGCTCTGCCAAGCTGAGGCAGAACAACCACCGGCCTGCATGTGATCTAAGGCTGGGAATAGGCCCGGTTGGGGAGCTAAGGGGACACCCTAGCTGGGTTGAGTTTCCCACCAAGGAGCGCATGGGCTGGAATTGGGGCTGTGTTCTGATCAGGATATGGTTGTAATCTCACTTGGCACAAGTGTGGACTGGGACTGGAAGCACCAAGCCAGGCCAGACTCCAACACCATCTGGTGCTCTGGAGGACCAGGGTAGATGTGTGACAGACTAGGCTAGGTCTCAGCCCTTACTGAACCATGTGTGAGCTGTATGTGGGTATGGAAGAGCCATGGCTGGGTTGAAACATCCAACAGTGAAGGCTGGTTAAAGGCTGGTCAGGAAAAGCCACTGTTCCTGCTAGGACAGGAGGTGAACTGAGTAGGGCTGGCTCATGGACCCACTGGTATGCGCAAAAACTGGCATTGGGAGAGTTTCTGATGGAGCAGCCTGGACAACTCTGGCAGGACACAGTCGCTGCAGGTAAGCGCAAGAAGCACAATAGGAAACAGTCCAGAACAGACAATGGAAATTATCCCACTGGCATACACATGGCATGGGTTGGGGGCAGACCAGGCTGAACCCGTTCACATCACCCGCTGGAGAATCCGAGCACCAGAACAGAGTGTGTGTCGGGCCAGGTTCAGTTGCAACACATACCAGTACACATTAAGGAATGCCAAGGTGAGATGAGCCGTACCAGATGTGGTTGCCCAAACAGCACATGTGAAAATCGGGGTAGGAGGCAAAGCTAGCAGGGGAATGTGGGCTCCCCTGCTGGACAACTACTTCCATTGGAAAGCGTGAGTTGGGATGGGGGCAGTTCAGACTAGGCAGGGCTATAACACCTGTGGGCCTCATGTGAGCTAGATAAGGGAAGGGTCACGGTGGGCTGACTGTTCCGACTGGTGCAAGCAAAAATTAGAGTGGGTGAGGGTTGGTTGGGCTTAGCCACAGCATTAGCTGGCAGAGGCTGGCACTGGGAGCTAATTCTGTCAAGTCAAATGCCAGAACCACCACCACTGCAGGAGAGTGCATAATCTGGGAGTAGGTGTGAACTAGAAGGGAAATAGTGGGCACCTCCCTCAGGGTTACCCTCTCACTGGACAGCATGAAAACCAGGACAGGGACAGGGGTGGCTAGACAGAATAGCATCCACCAGTATGTGTGTGGGCTGGATAGTAGGGCTGGTTGGGTTGAACTAGGCTTCAATGCCCATTGACATGTATGAGAGCTGAATGGGATGTGGGACAGACTGGACAAGCCTGCGGTACATACTGGCAAGCATGGGAACCAGGGTAGGGGGCAGAACTGGTGGGGGTTATGGGGAGTCACCCCAACTAGGCTGCAGCTCTAACTGGTTTGTGTGAGGACCAAGTATGAAGTGGGTAGGATCGAGCTGGACTACAACACCCGTTGGTTCACAAGGAAGACAGGGCTGGAAACAGAACTGACCCAGCAATAGCAATGACCAGCATGTGCATAAGCTGATTGGTGTGATGGACAGTGTTGGAGTCTGTACTAGCAAACTCACTCAAGAATCAGATCTGGGATCATCTCAGATGAAGTTTCTTTGGAGATCCCTCCAACTGAACTGCTGATCTTAGAACCCCAACCATCAAGAGACTGTCAGCCAGTGGACTCTGAATAGGTTTCATTGCGGTTGGGACGGTGAGATTGGCAGCAATTCAGAACTGATGAACTATCAAAACTGTTTGAGCAGGACCCTCGGAGTGCACCTCCCTTTGGGGATCTGGGATGGGTGGGAGGTTGGGTGGGGCTTTTCCCTTTGTTACTCCCCTAACCCCAGATACAGGGAAAAATGATAATATTAGTGTGGAAACAATGGTATTACCCACTTTCACCCTGTAGCCCTTGACCCTTTGTACCCTAATCAACTAAGATTATTAAAATTAAAAAAAAAGAAACGTCATCAGAAGCACAGGCAGTCAGGAGCAAAATAAATAAATGGGACCACATCAAACTAAGCAGCTTCTGCACAGCAAAGAAAACAATAAAAAAAGTGAAAAAGCAACCAACAGAATGGGAGAAAACCTTTGTACATTATACAACAGATGCGGGCTAATATTTGGGATATATAAAGAACTCCAAAAACACAATAACAAAACCAAAACACCCTGTTAAGAAATGAGCAAAGCACATGAGCACATTTTTCAAAGGAACAAATTCAAATGGATAACACAATGGGTCCATTTAACCCCAGCGAGAATGACCCCAGGCAGAGAACTACCAACAATACCTGCTGGTGAGGATGTGGGGAAAAAGGTACCCTAATCCATTGCTTGAGGGACTGTAGACTTGTGCAGTCACTATGGAAGTCAGTATGGAGAATACTCAGGCAACTGAAAATCCACTTAGGATTTGACCCAGCAATCCCACTACTGGGAATCTGTCCAAAAGAACTGAAACATCCACAATGAGAAAGCAACCTGGATCACTGTATTCACTGCAGCACAACCAGTAATTGCAAAAACATGGAAACAACCTAGATGCCCACTGAAGGAGGATTGGATAAAGAAACTGGTGTATCTACTCTATGGAATATTATGAAATCTTACCAATTGCAACCAAATGGTCCCAATTGGAGACTATTATGTTTAGCGATATAAGACAACTTCCATCCAAGATACAAAACAAAAAAGATATAAAGGTAAATGAACATACACTTGTAATCTCACAAATGAAGGATGTAATGGAGACTAGAGTACTAAGTATCAAAGATCGACAGAATTCTTCCTTACTTCCGAATAAAAGTAGGACCCGATGAAACTTCTAAATGTATCTAGACAACAAAACACTAGCCCCTCTGCTACTGCTTATACCAAGAGTGCCATTACCCACATAAAGAGCAGAATGCTGGAGTCCAGACTCCAGCTGAAGGACATCTACTATAAAACATGGCGGACAACGGGGAGGGGAGAAAGAGTAAGGGTAAGGGCAGAGGAAGCCAATACCTGCAAAATTGTAAAATAGAAAAAAATCATTTGTTTTTATTTGAAAGGCAGTTTTACAGAGAAACGTAAATGTAAATGTGGCCCCAAATGGCCAACGGGTAGTGCTGAACTAATCCAAAACCAGCAGCTAGGAGATCCTTCTGGGTCTTCCCGTGGGTGCTGGGGCTCAAGGACTTGGGCCATCCTCTCCCGCTTTCCCAGGCCATAAGCGAGACAGGGTGGGAAGTACAGTAGCTGGGATGTGAACTGGCACCCGTACGGGATACTGGTGCTTGGAGATGGAGGATTAGTTAGTTGAGTCAATGTGCCAGCCCCTGCTGGGGTCCGTGCGGTAGGTGTGGATGGCACGAAGGTGTGAAGAGAACAGCTCCCCTGCTTGGCAGGGCCCAAGGGAGCTTCCAGCTGTTTGGCAGGGCCCGGCGTATTTCTCTCTGACCACCCTGACGCTGTTTCACCCCCTGTTTGCATGGACACTCAAGCACCCCACTAAGAATTCTGTAATCTATTGAGGCATTGTTGTTTGCCCCTGTGAGATAGTTTTTGCAACTGATGTGAGCTTGAGAGTTAATGTCACTGATAATGTCTTGGTGAGTGGGCCTTTGACAATTTACACACAGGAGCACAATTAAGCCCATGTCATTTTTGGACACCTTATTGTGTGCTAACTATTGCCTCAGAACCTGGCCCAGACATACAGCACACCCTCTGGGAAGGGGCTTGATATATATGTCTTAAATACTAATGCAAGGGATGGGAGTGAGAGCTGAAACTGCTATGGCAATAAATATAGTTATTGTTATCTCAAAGGCTAGCCTGCCTTTGCAATTTTTTGGAGCCTAGAAAATGTAATTGTTTTAGCTGCTTTTATAATTTTTAGCTAGAGGAATTAAGGATGCTTTTATTAAAGAAAAATGCTTTTGATTATTGTCTTATTGTTTATGGGGTTGTAGGGGTCTATAGTTGTAGGGAGATTTAACATTTGAAGTTTCTGTTTTAGATTTTAGGTTTTTTCCCTTGTAACCTATTTTCCCATTAAATGATGGGTAAATTGTAGAAGCAGAAATGTGGTGGGAAAGTACCACTAATTAGCAGGTAATCGCATGTGCTTTGGCCTTGGAGTCCTGGCTGTTGCTCCATGGCTGCTGTTGTAGAATAAACAATAGCTTGCTTTGAAGAATATGAATACAGTATTTTGCAAAATTATCTTTAGGAGCACCTGCCTAGCCTTGAAGTGCAGACGGAGTGACCAAATATCTGTACATGCCCCCTTAATTTTGAAAAGAAAAAAAATAGAATAGTTGCTTGTGCAGAAGCTTGAGAAGGGTTTTGAGTAAATAAAAAGGACAGCTTTTTCCTGAGCTTGTGTGAGAACACACCAAGTGTCTGTGTCTGTGTCTTTCTTTATCGCTGACTCCATGCACCCTTCCCGAGCTCCAAACTCAGCTGGAGCTGGACTCCGGCAAGCCCCTTTTAGTATCTCATTTAAAACTCATGTAAAACCTACAGGTATTCGCACCTACAGGTAGGTGCTAATATTAATCAAAAATCACAAGCCAATACGTGGTGTTGACAACAGGTAAGTGAACAAAAGGAAACCATCAGCTGGAGCTCTTACACAAGCAAACTGGACCTTAACATGGAAACATCTGTAGTGGAGATGAAAAATTAAAACAACAACAAAATCAATCTCCAGCAATTATAAACAGTCAACCAGCTAAATAAATGGTTCTATAACCAGGGACCTTCTATAAGAAGACACCCTAAGGCAGATGCCCGACCATGACCAACCAGGTGACTTCCCTACTCTGCTTTCCAGTCTACAGAGACTGCTGTCCGTGCTGCTGGGTGGGGCATTCTCAGGGGTCCCTCTAGTGGGGACCGGGACTCGAGGCGTGACATTTGCACCAAGAAGAAACGTGGGACACAGGGGGTACATAGGTGAGATGAAACAATGCACACGTCACTGAATTTTACTGGGCAACTTATACCATAATCCTTGTAGAGCAAGCAGGTGGATAAAGGTTACTAGCTAACTAAACAATAGCATACAAGCTACTCTAACAATAGATCACAAGGGATTTGGAAAACAATCACCAGGTCTCAGGCAACAGGATAAGTAAACATGAGTTACTGGTAAAGAAACAGTTATAACTAAAAAAAGGAATCTAACAGAACTTTGTACTCAGATACGTTCAGGCCACAATCGCTAAAGGAAGAAATGATGGTGAAGACGCCTCCCACCTCTCCAGGCACGCTTGGCCAGCAAGACGGCCACAATGTGAGCAGGAGCCTGCCTACTGCCGCATTCTCAGTCTGCCCGGAAGGTGTGAGATTCAGGGTCCCTTGGGCCTCTGGTGGTTTGGTTTAGGGGGCAGAGCTCCACAACTAATATTTTAATCTCCACAGGGCGTGAACCTCTTTCCACAGATCATTCATCACTCTTTAATAGAGTTTGTGATTTTTTTCTGAAGTTCTTTTCACAGTGTTAAACAAAGATTTGAACCTAGGCAGTTTGTCTTCCAAGATGTTCTTAACTACATACTTCTATCACGGCCACCTATAGCTTCTCGGAATACTGTTCTTATCAAATGATTAATAATCATGATTTATTTAAAACCCAATTCTCAGGATGGGTATTTAGCCTAACGGCTACTATGCAAATTAAGTGCCCAGTGTGGTAGCCTAGTGGCTAATGCCCTCCTTGCCTTGCATGAGCCAGGATCCCATTAGGGTGCTGGTTCTAATCCCAACAGCCCCCTTCCCATCCAGCTCCCTGCCTGTGGCCTGGGAAAGCAGTCGAGGACGGCCCAAAGCCTTGGGATCCTGCATCCACATGGGAGACCTGGAAGAGGCTCTTGGCTTTGGATTGGCTCAGCTCTGGCCATTGTGGTCACTTGGGGAGTGAATCAATGGATAGAAGATCTTCCTCTCTGTCTCTCCTTCTCTCTGTATACCTGACTTTCCAATAAAACAAAAATAAAATCTAAAAAACAAAAAGATGCAAATTAAGATCCTTGTTCCCCACACTGGAATACATGGGTCTGATTCAAGGTTCTGGCCCCTGATGAGTATTTGCCAATGCAGACCCTGGGGGCAGCAGTGATGGCTCCAGTGGCTGGGTTCCTGCCACCCTCACGGAGACCAGGGTGAGTTCCTGGCTGCTGACTCCAGCTCAGACGCCTCTGTCTAGCCTGGTCATGGCAGGCATTTAGGGAATGAGTTAGTACCCGGGAGCATCAGCCTAGGTCTCTGCTCTTAAATCAAAAAGCAACAACAGCAAAAAAGTAGAGTTGTTTGTCACTAGCGCAGGTAAGACTTACTCTTTGCTGGCAACATTGTTTTCTGTTTTTTCGGTGGTGGAGTAGGTAAATCTCCAGGTTCTCCTATGAGGAAAAATAAAAGTGTTAGCAACATTAATTTTTCTCCTATTCTTAATTGTAGTAATTGGGCAATGAATTAGCTCACAAGTAAAAATTAGAAACCTTGACTGACCATAAATTTTCTCACTAAAAAATTGGTTCATATCAAATTTTCATAGATTCAGGAAGCAACTACTGTGTGTTAAAAAAAATGCTTGGCTTGTGGTCAATGCTGCGACACGGTGGGTTACACTTCCGTCTCCAGTGACAGCATTCCCATTGGTACCAGTTTGAGTCCCGGCTGCTCTACTTCTGATCCCAGAAAGCAGAAGACAGCCTGAGTACTCGTGCGGCTGCACCCAGTGGGAGACGCAGAGGAAGCCCCTGGCTTCAGTCTGGTGCAGCCCTGGCCACTTTTGCCATTTGGGTAATAAACGAGAGGATGAGGGCTCTCTCTCTCTCTGGATGTGTCTGCGCCTCAGCCTTTAACTCTGCCTTTCTCACTTAAACCAAATATATATATTTGTTTTAATTTCTTTTTAAATTATTGTCATCATTCTATGACAGTTCCATAGGCTCTGGGATTTCCCCTCCCACCTCCCCAAACTCCCCTATATTATTACTATAACATAGTTCTTCATAAGCAGTCACATGTTCATCACTGCGGGCATGGACAATGGCAGTGACTCTGCCTTTCAAATAAACAGATCTTCAAGACTACTCACTGTCAATCTGCTGCCCGATCTTCTCCAGCTGCTTACAGAGTCTATCAAATATGGCTTTTTTCACACCGGATGCGGCTACCATTTTGTTCTTATCCACTTTTAGCTTTAGAATCCTACAAAAGGTTAAAAATTGATTTTGTCAAGAACAAAATAGCTTTCCTGGCCAAACAGAGTATCAACCTATTTCCTTTTCTGTTCATGCTTTAATAACAGTCCCCAACTACCTAATTTTTCCTTTGTTTCAAACATATGTCATGAGATACAATCCTATAGATTTGCTTTTGTAAGCTCTTTAGTCATTTATTGGACTGTGAGTTAAAATGCACATGGAATTTTGTTTTGCAACAACGGAGCACAGAAAAAACATTTGCTGTAATCCCTGATGCTGTAATCCCAGTCAACTTCATATGTTACTAATTTGCCAAATGACAACAATAGCCTCTTCTAAGTGTTCAATTCACTTCATCTAGGCTGTTGAAACACTCCAACTCAGGAAGAAAAAACAAACCAACCAACCCTCAACTCTTGTAATCCTAATAATCTCCTGGGAAGCAATAATAAAAAAACACAACCAGGGCCTAGCAGCTAATGTCCTCACCTTGGATGTGCTGGATGCCATATGGGCACTGGTTCTAACCCTGGAAGCTCCACTTCCCATCCAGCTCCCTGCTTGTGTCTGGGAAAGCAGTCGAGGACAGCCCAAAGCTTTGGGACCCTGCACCTGCGTGGGAGATCCGGAAGAGCTCCTGGTTCCCGGCTTTGGATCGGCGCAGCACCGGCCATTGCCATCACTTGGGGAGTGAACTAATGGATGGAAAATCTTCCTCTCTGTCTCTTCTCTCTGTATATCTGACTTTGCAATACGAATAAATAAATCTTTTAAACACACACACACACCAAACCAAACTTCTTATTTAGGATAACAGATCCATGTAGACCTGTTTTGCTCAGTATAACTGATTTTAAAAATGGAGTTACTTAACTACCCTCACTGGTTTCTGGAAAAGCCTTCTTCTATCCCTATACACACATACCTTTGCTGAACTGACAGGACATTTTCTGCAAATAGCAGTGAAGAAATATCATTTGCAAGTATGGAGGTAACAGAGCTAAACATACCCAAATCAGTACATAGCTAGCGAGAAATTCATCCTTTAAAATTTTGATTTCTGTAACTTTCCAGCAGTACTTTTTAAAAAATCACCCATGACGACTGTTTTAATGTCAGACTTCAACACTTATGATGGACTCTGAATTCAAAACACTTAGCTTCTCGATACAGCTGCCTGTTAGCAAGGGAATTTACAGCAGTCCTGGTTCCAACCTGCTGACTACACTAAGGGATAAGACAGTGCTACCATCTGACCACTATGCTCAATATTATTTATAGGAGAAAATGTGCTCAGAGTTGAAAGCGCTCAATGTCAAGTACTCTTTGGGAATAGAAAGCCCCTTTCCTGGACGTTAAAGGAACACTCACTTGCATGCCGAGAGTACAGCAGCGGTGGTGAAAAGCGGCCTGGACAAGTCAAGCTCCACTTGCTGTGTCTGGGGAAGACTGGATTCATAGCTGAGGAAGTTTGACAGAATTATTTGTTAGCAAATATCACTACAGAAGCAACTGAAAATGCAAATCGAAACTAACAGGCTTTTAAAATGCGTGACATCTGCCATCACTTTGGCCTTTTGAAGACAGAAAATGGACAAGGACAGAGCACTAGATAATTCCACCTTACCCACGTCCCGTACCTCTGCAGGATCTTTGAAGCCATGTTCACCGCTTCTGTACAGCTAAACTGTACTGCGAGGTCTCTGATTCCAACATTTGAATTCAGGCCCAGTAAACACTCAAAAGACTTAAGACAGCTCTGATACATCTTCTTGTTCAAACCAGAAAGTTTAATTAAATAAGCCTTTAGAAAAAAAGACCACAAAGGTTCATATATTAGTATTCCTGAATAGTTGTTTAATAAGTAGTATCAACTCTGCCAAATCAATTCTGAGGTAAATCCTTTTACTGCAAATGATTCTATTTAGTCAGAACCATAATCACATTAAGCAGAGACGATTTGCTTGTGAAGAAACAATTTGAATTACTATTCACATAGCCAGCTTGTGCATTGAAAACCACGGAAGGCACATATGTGGTTGCTTTTTTTCTCAACAAAGTGCCAATGGAAAACTTATGTGGAAAATGAAGAAAGCAGTGAGTGAGCAGGGTGCGTGTACAGAGTGAAGAAATGAGGGCAGGGAACCGAAGCAGAAGATCAGAAATTCTGAGCAAGCAGACTCAAGGATGCGACATCAAGGTAGGGTCACCTCGGACCAACAGGAGCTTGCTGGAGGAGCACTCCAGGATAAAAAGGCGTTGTATGCATGAGGCCATGAGTCACCCAAGTGCAAGGTCTGTTCATGAATATTACAGTTTCACGTCAGGGCTGAAGGGAGGCTGCAGAAGGCCAACACAGCTTGCTTTTCTTTACTTTTTAAAAGATTTAATTGTTTTCATTGGAGAGGCAGATTCACAGAGAGAAGGAGAGAGACAGAAAGAAAGATCTCTGGCTCTCTCCTCAAATGGCTGCCACATCTGAAGCTGCGCCAATCTGAAGCCAGCGGTTGGGAGCAGGGTCCCTAGGCTTTGGGCCACCCCTCCTTGTTTTCCAAGTCACAAGCAGGGAGCTGGATGGGTAGCGGAGCGCCCAGGACATAAACCAGCATCCATATGGGATGCAGGCACTTGCAGGAAGAGGATTAGCCAGTGGAGCCACCCCGCCCCACAATATTACCAAAGGTACATTACACACCGCACACTGCTTAATCCTCATAGTCCTACTAAACGGAGGCCTGTATCCCTAAAGAATGAGGAAAATGGAGACTCACCGAACCAGTAACCAGCTTAATATTTGGTCTCAACACCTAACTCCTGACTCTACAGCTTGTTCTCTGTGAAATGGAAAATTTAAAACCTGTGCTTTAGGACAACAAGCTAGATCTCTGTGGAAGACAGCTTCTAGCAAAGAAAGAGGTGGCGAGGTGGCCAACCAATTAGATGGTAGAGAATACTGTATTATATAGAAAAAAAATTCCCAGCTAATTGTTGATTCTAAAGTTTATCTGGAATGACACACAAGAAAAGCCGAGGGGAGGGGAGGAATAAATCAACTGATAGTGTTTCCTTCTGGCTCCCCGCCAAAATAAAAAATAAGTTACAGCTGCATGTGGTGTTGCTGTGCTCACCCTGTCCAGCGGGTACTTCATGCAGGAAGCCGCGAGGTCCAGGCACATGACCGCGTTGCTCGTCTCGGTGGTGCGAGCAGACAGGCCAGCACACTTCACCTGCGACAGTCGTAAGTACTCCTCTGCTTTCCTGGTGAGAAAGGAAAGGCAACGGACCCCTGAAACTGCAAGCAAGCAGCCAGCTGGGCTGCGTCCTGCGCCCGGTTCCCTTCAGGTTCACTCAGGGCCGGGAGGACAAGCTCTCACCGAACCAGCACCCTGAATGCAGACCGGGGGAGCTCTCCGGCCAGAGGGAAAAATCCAGCCTTTGCACTGCCGGAGTGGGCACGAGCGATCAGAGGCGGGGAAGGGCGGAACGGGGCACCCAGCCATCACCCCAGGGGGGCGGGGAGGGCATGTAAACACCGACTGCCCGCTCCCCTCCTGCTTCTGCTCAGTGGGCCTGGGAATTTGCATTTTTGGTCAGTGTCAAGAGGTTGCTTGCCTAGGAATCACGGAGAACCGCTGCTGCCAACGACGACTTGACCGAACTAAAAGAACTTTATTTCCAACACGCGGGAGATCCGAGGCCTTGTTTTTTAGAAATCTTTAAGGCAGCCGCCTGGCCGCGCTGCAGCCTCCTGGGGTTTTAATTAAACCGGACTCCCGACCAGCCCCTTCCCGTCCCACCCGGCATCTCACAGACCTGGCGGACCCCATGGACGTCCACAGCCGCCCCTTCTCGCCACCCCCAGCCCCGTCGCGGGGCAGGGTCGCGCCTCGGCCCCCCCGGCTCACCTCAGCACCAGCGGGTCGGTTAGCCCCAGGCGCGGGGCGAAGCGCTCCAGCAGCGCGGACCCCATGGCGCCCGCACGCTCGGCTGAGGCGCGACAAAACGCGCGCCCGACGCGGCGCCGGCCAGTGACGGCCAGGCCCGCCCCGTCGCGCCGCGTGACTGGTGGAGACGCGTCGCGTAGCGCAGCCCACAGCCCAACCCGGCCCTGCTCTGCGCGCTTGCGCACCACGCGTGCGCGCGCCTAGGCGGATGTTGTGAACGCGGAGGGCGGCTCCCTTGGCCTCCGGTCCTTCCTAACAAACGTGTCCCGCTCTGCCTGGCCTTCTTGCCTGCCGTCTCCGGTCTGGTGGCCGAGCGAGCGCCCCTGTCCCGCAAGGCCCCCCACGCACAGTGCGAAGACGCCGGGCTGCGCCGCGCGGCCTGTCAGTCCGGCCCTGAATGGCAGGCGCCCAGGGCCAATGGCAGGGCCGGCTGCGGGCTCGGGGGCGGGGCCTGGCGGGCGAGGCGTGGCCGCGGCGTCAGCTGACCGCGAGCGGCTCCGCGCGGGGTCGGTGCTGCCTGCTGCGGGCTCGGGGGAGTCGCCATGGTGAGTGCGAGGGGGCGGCGGGGCCCCGGGCCGGGCTGCTGCTGCTGCCGCGGCCGCCGGTGGCCGTGGTTACCCTGGAGCCCTGAGGGTGGGGAGGAGGCCGCTGCGGCCCGATGGGGGCGAGGGCCCCGGCGTGGCCTGCGGAATGGAGGACAGACAGGCCGCGGAAGGCCGCGGGCAGGCTGATCCGGGCCAGGGTGGGCGGCGGCTCCCGGGCTGCGGCGGTTGATCGGAGAGCCGGCGGCCCGCGGAGAAGCCTTCTCGGCCCGGAGGCCTGGGCCGTCCTGGAGAGAGGCCTGAGGCCGTGTTTCAGAGCAGGGAAAGCCGGAGCGTCCGGCCGAGTCCGGGCGTGCGGAGGAGGGCCTGAGGCTCCGAGGTGGCGCCGGACCCGCCCAGATGTGGCGTTTCCACCTTTGTGCTCAGTTTTGTTCCACGGGGCCCACACACACCCTTTCCTGTGTTGGCCTTTCTTGGGTCCACAGACCCCTTTGCTGCAGCGTTTGCGAGTTCTAGGCACCTGCTTACGTGAATTTCCTGGAAGGTTTCCTGCAGTCTCTCTCTAATCCTGACAGTTGGAAAGGAGATGGCTTCTTTCCTTTAGCGTTTGTTCCTTGAACATCCTGGCCCTCCCGTTTCCCCGATGATGAACTGTGGGAATGTTTCTTGCTGGGATGGGCGGCTTCGGTCCTCTTCAGGATGGCCGCATCGCGCTGTGGCTGTTGGCTGGTAAACTTGAGCTTACTCAAAATGTGCATCCTTGTGTCTAGTCCCCGCAAAGGCAAGTTACAATTTGCCTCTTATTAGCACTTGGCATAGTCTGCACCGGACAAATCATGGTTTTGGAGGATGGTGTCCTGTATGTCAGTTTTAATTATCTCATCACTTTGCAGAAAGGCCTCACTGTGCAGATGTTGATGTTAGCAGCATTAGATGTTTGATCAGTAGTGCTTTGGGGTGCCATACAAAGTGGTTTTGCTTGTTTCTCAAGAACTTTTGCAATTGGGAATTGATACAGGACCAGTATAAAAGTGTAAGAGCTGACCTGGTGGTTCAACAGGCGAATCCTCCACCTGCAAGCGCTCGCATCCCATTTAGGCACTGACTGCTCCACTTCTAATCCAGCTCCCTGCTTATGGCTTGGGAAGGCTTTGGAGGGTAGCCCACGTGCTTGGGACACTGCACCCACGTGGGAGACCCTGAAGCAGCTCCTTGCTTCAGGTTAGCGCAGGTCCGTTTGGAGAGTGAACAAGTGGGTGGAAGGTCTTTCTTTGTCTCTACTTCTCTTTGTAAACCTGCCTTTCCAATAAAAATCGATCTCTTATGAGCAAGTGCAAATTCAGGCCTTGTATGTATCTGTACATTTGTTGGCATTTAGAGGCTTAAATGAAGATCTGTTCTCTGCCCTCCAGTTCTGTGCTGGTGAACTGGCCTGGAGCAGAAAGCCAGCCTCAGTATTATCCTCACCAATTTCACTGGGAAAGACAAACCAGGTTAGCAGTCCTGATCAATTTTTGCATCTGAAAACAAGTGCTGGCCTCTTGGACCGTGTCCAGCGTTCACGCTCAGAGTCAGTCCAGCAAACGTTGCGCCTCTTGTGTCATCGGTTGTGCCAGGCAGGATTGCAGGGACGGTCTCACATAGCCGATCGCTCGGGAAGACACGCTTGCGGAACTTGTGTCTCCCAGGGAGAGGATCGCCTCATTTGCACTGTCAGCCAGGTGCTTTGGGGTCTTGGAGGGAGGGTGGGTTTTCTGTAGGGAGCTTGGTAAAGACTACAGGAGGCCGCCTGGGAACCCAAGCTCTGAGACGGGCAGCAGACATTTTTCAGGTCGGGGAAGAAACAGTATTGCCAATAAAGCCGTAGATACTCCGCAGGGAGAAGTATTGGTGGGTTAGGACTGGTTTGGTGTTCAAATGATGTTTTGAAGTTCCCATTGCATGTCTTTAATTCTCCCTGTTTCAGTTAGTTTGTGCCATACTGTTTATAAAACAGCACTTGCATTAATATAATACTTGTGAAATGAGCTCGCAGTGCTCATTGAGCTTTAGCTATGTCATTTTGTTCATTTCTCCTAACAGTGATACAAGTACTCTTTTCTTTAAAAAAAAAAAAAAGATATTTATTTATTCATTGGGAAGTCGATATACAGAGAGAAGGAGAGACAGAGAAAGAGATCTTCCGTCTGCTGATTCACTCCCAAAGTAGCCATAATGGCTGGAGGTGAGCTGATCGGACGCCAGCAGCCAGGAGCTTCTTCCGGGTCTCCCACGTGGGTGCAGGGTCCCAAGGCTTTGGGCCATCTTTGCTTTCTCAGGCCACAAGCAGGTAGCTTGATGGGAAATGTAGCAGCCGTACCCGTGTGGGATGCCAGCGAGGATTTAGCCATTAGGCTACCGCACCAGACCCACAGTGCTCTTTATTATCCCTGTTTTATAGATTTTTTTTTTTTTTGGGAATGTGATTGATTCACCACGACTTTTCTCTTTCTGTGTTCCTTATATCTAGATTTGAAAGAGCTGCTCCTGGCCTCCAGCTAAAGTAGCTAAATTGCAAGCGTTAATTTGATCTTGATTCTCTAATATTGATAAATGTATTTGCAAATGGATCACCACTTTAGCATGAGAGAACACAGTTTGTGATCAGGCTCAGGTGTAAAGACAGCATGTTTATGTAATGATGTTCCTAGTGCGTGCAGCACTTCCCAGGAAGAGGCTCGGGAGGAACCCTAGAATAGACATGTGGAAGTGGACGTTGGCCTAGCAGTTAGGATACTCATATCCCAACCCTGAGTGCCCGGATTTGATGCTGGCCTCTTTTCCTCTTCATTTTTTTCTAAGATTTACTTTGTTTATCTGAAAGGCAGAGTTCCAGAGAGAGGGGGAGGGGAAAGATTTTCTGTCCGTTGGTTCACTCTCCAAATGGTTACAACAGTTGGGGCTGTTAACCAGGAGCCAGAAGCTTCTTCATGTCTCCCATGTGGGTAGGGGTCCCTGATGCTTTCCCAGACATGTTAACCGGAATCTGGATTGAAAGAGGCATCTAGGGGTTGAACTGGTGCTCATATGAACTGTTGATGCTACAGGCAGCAGCTTAACGCACTATGCCACAAGCTTCCTGAAAACGCATACCTTGGGAGGAAGTGGTGACGGCCCAGATGATTGGATGGCCGCCGCCAGTCTGGGGAACCTGACTGCGTTCCTGGCTGGCTCCTGGTTTGGCCCTCACCAGGGGAGTGAGCAGCAGATGGGAACTCAGCTCTCAAATAAATGCAAGTAGCCATTTATAGCATAGCTGTATAGCCTTAAGTAATGTAACATAAAGGTGCATTTCGCTGTTACAGCTCTATTTCTTCATTAGTAGTCTACGCAGTATGATAAATGAAATAAACCAGACAAAAAGAACAGTTAAATCGGAGAAAGTGACTCAGCCTGCGTGACAGTTACCGGTTTCCCATTTGGAGAGTGAAAAAGTTGCCGAGCTGGCTGGAAGTGATGGCTGACAGCGGGAGTGCACCAATGTCCCTCAGCTGCACGCTTGTGGAGATTTTATGGCTCTTTTACCACAATAAGGAAAATATAAAAATGTTTTGATGCATCATTACTGATGGCTAAGTTGGCCTTTTGAACTTGGGGCAATCCGCTTGTCCTTCACTGCATTCAGCTGTGAGGAGCCAGGCGGGCTGAGTGGTACCTCGGTTTCACTGGCAACTGGGACGGAACCATGATGAGTAGTAAATTTCATTAAGTTAAAAATGCACATATGCTAATAACCTCCTCGCCTATGAAGCCAACATTTGATGCTGCTAGATTTTCTGTATAAATTGTTTCCTTTAAGTGAAGTTTAGATGGCATCTAACTTTTTGGGGAGCGGGGAGTTATTTATGCTTTGGGCAATGGTACTTGCAGGGGAACTCAATTAACCACAGTTTGTGTTAGGAAAAAAGAAAGGAAAATGCATGGCATTAGTAAGTTTTTTTTTTTTTTTAAACAAATGAAGGAGAAAGTATTCATTTTTACTATTCCAGTTCAGAAATAGGTTTCACGAAGCTTTTGTTCATTGTTCATCTCAGAACTGAAGTATTTTGATTATCTTCTATAATGGAACATACTGGATTTTTTTTTTTTTAAGATTTATTTTTATTATTTTTTTATTGGAAAGGCGGATATACAGAGAGGAGAGACAGAGGAAGATCTTCCATCCAATGATTCACTCCCCAAGTGAGCGCAATGGGCCGATACTATGCCGATCCAAAGCCAGGAGCCTCTTCCGGGTCTCCCACATGGGTGCAGGGTCCCAGAGCTTTGGGCCGTCCTCGACTGCTTTCCCGGGCCACAGGCAGGGAGCTGGAAGGGAAGCGGGGCTGCCAGGATTAGAACCGGCGCCCATATGGGATCCCGGGCATGCAAGGCGAGGACCTTTAACCACTTGCGCCACCGCGCCGGGGAACATACTGGATTTTACCTTCATGTTTGTGTAATCCTCTGTTTTTGGCTTT